ACATGGGAACAAAGGTCTTAAAATAAAAGCAAAGACATCACTGATAAACTATTCAGTAATGGATAACAGAGTCACTCAAAGCTTGTTAGCAAAATCTGACTGGACCGTATACACACACTATATGTGCAACTGGTTAGCAACAGAGCTAAGTTTCAGACGTTACTCTCAGACATCAGCAAACATTTATAATTCAAGATGTATACTAGCAGCCGCAGACTAATGTGTGCGGCATGTGAGGATGACTTAGGTCATAATAATCCAACATTACTGGAATAATGCACTATTCTGCCTGGCGATGCAGAGAGAAGCTTCTTGACTTCAGATGTTTTCAGTTTAGCAAGTTTGCACTGAAATGATGATTATGTGTTTTGCATGAATGATTGATAGCATGTGTTTCAGTGCCCTGAGCACTCTAATGTGCTAGGGTCATATAATTACAACTTGTGGCTATAGAAGCTACTCTTTAGCAAAGCTTGCAAAGTGTTCCTTGAGATCTAAAGCAGCATATAGTACATAATACATTTTAGTGACATCACAGTCACACTGAAAATCCTACAACGAGTAGTTTCTTATATTATAGCACAGGAATAAACCGTGCACAGAAATTCAACAACATGACAGTTTCAGAGTTTCTGCATAGAGTAAGTAAATCAATGAGAGGCATAATGGTCATCTTTGATGAGTTACACAAGGTTCTTTGGCATCCAACACCCACAGTGTCTTCTTGTGGCCAGCATTCTCTGTGCCGTTGCTTCTGACCAATCACTCAGCTGCCGTTTCCCATTCACAAAGACGAAAGGCTCCCTCTTTCTGTGAGGCCAGTATAGCTGATGCCTCTGTCACTCTTTTGAGCGAGTTGACACTTTATAAGACGGAAAAGGCCAAAAGTAAAGCATGCCCGTCTCTCCCATGTGTGAGGTTTGCAGGTCTGTCAGCAGCGCAGCAAGAGCACAGATGAGTGAAAGAAGCCAAACAGCTGAAGCAGGGAGCAGCAAATAAGCACTGGAGAGTTTGGTTAAATGGCAACACGAAAAAAAAGTAACAAGAAGCCTCGGCAAGTGCATGTAATGGCAACCATGGAGTTAAATATGTCTGATTAGGCAGCTTCACTTTTTTTAAATAATGAAACTATTATTGTGATTGTAACCATATTACATTTTAGGCGCAAGCTGATTGGTGATTATAAAGATTTAATCCAACACCAATGTCTGTCTGCATTCTTATATTAGTTTAACATTGATCTATGCACAATAAAAATAAAAAAACAGCAATGTTTAGCTCAGTCTAGCATCAAGATATACCCACAGCAGATGGCTGCTCTAACAGACTGTGGTTTAGCCCGCCCCATCTCAGTAGCTCCAGTGAAACTTGGAGCTATGACAGCAAAGGTAAACACTGATATGGAGACAAATAACAGTCAAATTTAAACGAGCATGCACACAAGATCACCTGCTATCGCTCTAATGGTTAGCAGGCCTGAAAAGCGAGGTATGGTCGTACATAGTGGAATGTCAGAGCGGCTGACAGTGCCCAGAGAAATGTAGTTATCTGGTGGAGGAGGGATCAAGTTCTTAACCTCTCCTTCGACCCCCTGGTAAAAACAACAAGCAGCCCCTGATCTCCGTGGCATGCTGCCTCAAGACCCCTGTGTCTCCACAGGGATGCATGTGTGGATGTGTGATGGACCACGAAAAAGGGAGTGCGCCTTTACAAGAAAGCATTTAAGTATACTGTAGGCACTTCCCTTAAGCCGCGGAGGTGCTGCTCCGCCTCCTCCCCCAAAAATCCAACTATTCTTCAGACCTGTGGTTTTCAAGTGGAGCCTTCAGTGTTGTGTAAGACATTTGTTGAACAATAAACTGTCTAGGCATAAACTTGCAGTTAATCTGTTGCCATGCAACACACTTCCTGCTAAACATTAGCGATAACTTATGACACTTCTAAAGGAAAGCATTATGAACCCGGCTACAGTTTGATGATAGGCTTATATCATCTTTTTTTTTTTTACCCCCCCCAACCATGAAACTCTGAACAACAAAAACAAGCTGCCGATTTGCGGAGCAGCACAATCCTTTACTGAGAGAGGCTTTTAATGGCCTTTCCAGATTGGGCCCTAATTAGCTGTTAATCATCTAAGGCTCATAACCAGAGTGGAGACAGCAGGCCTGTGTGTGTTTGCAAGCGAGTGTGCATTTGCGTGTGTTTGCGTGTTCTCTCCTGCTGTCTATCCTTGTGTTGCAAAGCCATTAGCAGCAGACAAGCTAAAGAGAGCCAAACAGCCCATTAACTCCTTCACTCTTCCTCTCTCCTCTCTACCACGCTCATCTCTTTCCCAACAGTACCACAGTTGCCAGCTGACACCCTCTAATGCCAGCTATCTGTCATGACCAGAGACCTGTCCACCCACACATCCCTCCCTGAACCTTGGTGCTTTTTCTATGTGATCTGTAGCATACGACTGGGTCTCTTAAAATGGTAAAACTACAAAGACAAACTGCACTCCCACACTCACAATCCCAGCTTATTTTATTATTTTAAGCGAAACCAACAGATTCCAGGAAGTGATTCAGTCCAAATAAATTCGAAAATTATACTTAAACTGACATTTGATAGCAAAGCTTTTATTCACAGTCCCTCTGGGATGAAACCTATTTTCCTAAGCTTATTATGTTTCTGTGCACCTACACCTGCCTGCTGGTTGCACGTTGGATCAATATCTCAGTTTGGAGAAGGAGAGAGAGAAAAAGCAGAGTGAAATTTTACCAGTTTGAAAGAAGCATATCTAATATGGCTGCAGACAAAATAGAGTCCAAATTGCATCTGCAGTGCCAAAGGGAGCACAAAGGACAGAAGCAAGGGGGAAAAATGAAGAAGAAGTAGAGGAGACCAGCACAGTTAGACCAGCGATGAAAGGCTCTTTTAGCTGTTTACAGGAGACCACATTAATGCACATATTCATACAATAAGGTTTCTGCTTCTTGATACATTATTTCTTCCTTTTTTTGTTTACATTATTACCCAAATTATATTTGTTTTTACAATGACCGTGTTTCAACTCTACATTTGAAACAGAAATAACTCAGGACAGCAGATTTGAACATTAAAACTTTGCCAACTAAAGAATAAAATAAATAAATACATACAATTCCATTTTATTAACATAGTGCCAAATCACAACCACAGTCACCTTCAGGTACATTATATTGTAAGGCAGTGGTCCCCAACCCCCGGGCCATGGACTGGCACTCGTCCATGAGTCATTTGGTACCAGGCCGTGCGAGTGAGAGAGGGTGTGAAGTTCAGGATTTTCAGGGTTTTCATTGGTTTTTAGCATTATTTTTTTATCGTTTTTATAGTTAACTCTGTTTCCCTAGATCTTTTCCCGTGTGTTATGAATAAATCTTTTTTTTTTGTACCAGTACTGGTTTTATTTTATTGTATTTATCCGCGACTCCATGAAAATACTGTCGCACATAAAACTTTGCCAACTGTGGCGCAAAAAAGGTTGGGGACCGCTGTTGTAAGGCATGTATCTTGTAAGGAGCTACTACAGCACTGTGAACAAGCATTAGGCAACCGTGGTGAGGAAAAACTCCCTTTTAACAGGAAGTAACGTCTGGCAGAACCAGCCTCAGGGAGAGGCAGCCATCTTTTAATTTAAGAAACTAAATAAAAACAATCCAAAACGTTTTAAACTTCATGCTATTAAAAAAAAAAAAAAAGTTGGACTAGTGGTTCTGTTTTTTTTTTTTATGCATAACAATTTCCCAAATATCTGTCAAACATAATCCTCATTTAGCACAAATGAAACTCAACTTTTCCTCCCCGTGAGTATAAAACACTGCACAACAACCTGCAACGCTGCCGCCACAACAAGCATCCCTCTAATACATCCACAGTGGGCTGCATGCTGACAGCCAAAAAGAGGGAAGTGTGTGATTAATGATAGCAGCATGGTCATATCAGCAGGCTAGTTAACAGACCCCCACCATAAGACTGCACAGGTCACAGAGCACACCCAGCCTCATCAGCACCCATTACTACTGTGGGCACACATCACACGTGAAGCTGCCACTGCTTTTACCCCAAATATGTAACTGAGAGGGAAAAGTGGCCTGCGCTAGGCTCCAGATTACATTGCGTTATAACCCACAGTTTAGTTTTCTTCTGTAATTGTGTTTATGTAGACAGACAGACAAAATTATGAATAAGCTTTATTTGTAAGGGGACAGCTGTCCTTTCACTGTCAGTATGAAGTTAAAATGTTTTAAAGATAAAAAGGGCTAAAAGCATAAATGATAAGCAATTTCAGCAAAGCAGAAGAGAAAATGTTAACCCCCCATCTGAGGCTCCTAGATCTTCCAGCGCTGAGAAATCTGATCCAAAGTGTTACCTTAGTTTCCCAACAGTGTGTGTGCATGTTGTGTAAAGCACAGAAGAGAACATCTAGAGTATAATGAAAACACAGCAGCCAGTCTGACAACATCTGACGTGAATATACACACAGAATATTTCTGCCTTTGGCCGGGCGGACCGGAAAGGGAGATCAGAAAGTGGATACTGCATAATTATTCTGCACAAAAACACAGTTGCAGTTGCACACACCGGCATGTTCCAGATGTGTATGAACAGAGCAGAGAGAGGGACCGTGAGGCTGCATGGGGATATTAGACAGGGCAGAGCTGGATCAATTTGCCGGCAAAGCAATCTGAAAGTTGGGACACGTGAGAGGAGGGGAGGCTCAGGTAACAGGAAGAACTGTGTGATGGTCAGGAAATAACACTGTCTCTTTAAGTTAGCATTTCCAGCTAAGCTTGGGGCTCAGATGGCCTGCGCTATGTGCCATATGGGGAAGAAAGAAAACAAGGCTATACATGACTGACAACTATAAAACTTTTTTTCTTGCCTAGACTCTATGATGGCTTCAGTATATTTTGAATGCACAATTGCTTTAACCTGGATCATACATGGGACACAGCATTCAGGTGTACTTTTCTTACCAGTCGATTAATGCGCACAAACTCTTCTGGGGTTTTGGCCCAAGGTGGCAGATCAACATCAGAGACTACAGTGCCATCCTCCATCACTCCCAGGTTGTAATTGCTGGCATTAACAAACATCTCAGGCAGATAGTAGAACTCTGGGATCAGCTCCTGAAATGGTAAAGCACAGACACATAAATGAACACACACTGGTTATCGGGAGAAAAGAAAAAAGAAAAAAAAAAGCAGTTTGAGAATCTGCAACAGTTATCAGACATAATGCTGCATCTGTAGAAAGCTCTGCATAATCACCAATGGAAATTTAGAATAACGGCAATACTAGATCTGAACATGATGTCCGAGAAGATAAAGGGTATGTTCACCCCTGGGTCTGTGCCTCACAAAAGGCGGCCCTGAACCAGTTCAAACAATCAAGGTACCGGCCACACATGTGAAACAGTGCTGTGTGGGTGTGAAAGGAAAGAAAGCAACTGGGCTGGTGCTTCTACAGATGTCAGGGAGTAGAAGAAGCTTTACCCCCCCCCCAAAAAAAGAGTGTAAAGTCCTGTGAGTCTTGATCAGCATAAATTTGATGAGTGTGGTTTTGCAGACTCCACTCCACTGTGGGCTAAGGGAGGTGGACTGCCTCTCCAAATTAAAGCACATTATGTTACAACTCAAAAAGCCCTTTAGAAGTGTTGAGTAACTCTTTAAGAAGAACAAGAGCAGGGAAAATAAACACAACGAAGCAGCACTGTTTTTGTATATAGATAGTATTGCTGTATTGTTTTCTGAATGGCAGAATTATTTGTGGAAATTACATGACGCTGCTCTGTTGTAAAAAGCCTCTGAGTGTGCACTCGGCTGTGGTTTCTCCCTATTCTGATGCGATGATCATATTCTTTGTGTCTAAGAAAGAAAAAAAAAAAAAGGTTCACTTCTGATTTTCCCCTCTCTTCCACAACAACAAAGAAAAGTCAGCTAAATTCTCGTCTTACTATGATGATTTTATTTGGCTGTCACAAACAACACAGCATGTTTTCAATCTGCACGAGAGTGAAGAGAAATGCAAGTATGACAGGAGATGTAACCCTATATGTTTAGCCATTTGTCATTCTAAACAAAGCAGAACTTGCCACAGTGAGTATAAACATTAAGATTGTGTTTGAGCTTAAAAACATGTAGATAAATCAACAACGCTTCCCAGGCTTTAGCTGTTGTGTTATTGTTGTGGGTACGTCTCACAAACTTCGACACAATCAGGACACGGGAAGGTTCAGTTCTTGGCTGTGTCATGCAAATAAAGAAAGGAAAGTGGAGCGTGAAATATATGGTATATTGCATTTTTCCCCAATAGACTGAAAAAAATGAAGGGAAAGCAAAATGCCTTAAAGTGCATTCTGTCTTATGGTCAGCAGGGGGCAGTTGCAAAAAAAGGCAGATTATAAAGCATCTATGGAAAAATTACCCTTCATCCTATTTGACTGGGGAAAGCAGTAAACACTTGACACATGCATTTATACTTTCAATCACTAATTTATATTCTTACTGAATAAAACACGATGATCATTTCCATATTACAGTCCTCATTAGAGTCAAAAAAGATGCTTTAAGATGCTACAGTATGAGTGTGATGATGGGCAAATTCTGATCTCAAGCCAATAAGACAGGACTTCACAAACCAGTGGGTGATGACTTGGTCCTAATTCAAATTTTTAATATACAGTCCATGTGCTCTATGAAGACTTGACAGGTAACAAAACAAATAATTATATGAACTATAACTATCTATAACAACTATAACTACGTTCACCTGCATATACAGAAAACACTATATAGAATCAATTATGGGCATTGCTAAGGGAATTTGGTGACGAACATGTTAATAACTTTCATTAGAAATGAACAGCCTACCTTCAAAACTCAGTGGCGATTGGCTGACAGCTAACACTCAAAGCAAAAAAAAAAAACTAAACTCGGAAGTCAAGAAGCATTTTGAAAAGATTCAATTCTTAGCATATGTAACATGATCTTTACAAATACAAGCAAATACAGCCAAATAATAACATTCCTCTTATCAAATTAGCTGCACAATATCTCCCCCTCTCATTAATGGGGTGAAAAGATCCAATCAAATGAGCAAGCAAACACACAGCTTTAAAACAACACGGCACTTCCTCACTTCTGAAATCTCTTCACTCCACAAAAGCTGACCTAAAACTAAAGGTCACCTTCTTAACGAGGCCTCCTGCTCACCCGGGTTCACTGGCTACAGCCTGCTGTAAATTTGAGCAGGAGAGAGCGGCACCCGTGCACGCACGCATGCACATACCCCAACGAAACCTTGAGGGCTTCACTCCCCAACACTCGAGCCTGCCTTACATGGACCATTATGTGCAGTGGCCCTTTTGCTCCAGCCTGGTCAGAGGCCAGCCCCTCTGATCCCCAATCCTGTCCTGTCATGGGTCACTGGAAGGGGCTTTGGCCTCTGGGCTCTCCAGCTACACTTCCACTGTTGCTACTTCTAACCCCTCTTCTCTTGTGTCTCCCCCTCTGATGCCTGTGGGCTGAGGCTAGGGGTCAGGGGATTGGGGGTGGCAGGTCATTCTAGCGTCACCCAGGCTAGAGACACATTGAATCTAGGTGTTGTAGCCCATTATCACCCCTTCTTTAACAGTGGCGTATGAAAACACAGGGCTTTTTGCCCTCTGGCAGAGACAGAGGGTTGCCATCAATGGTCCCAATACTAAAGCTAAATGGTGTACTTACCCTACTGAATTGATACATCTCACTCCTAATTCCTCTACTGCTTAAAAGAGGAATTAAGCAATATGGATGCGACTAGACTGCATCCAGTTGGTTGCACACATTCATATTTTGAGCAAAAAAAGAAAAGGAGCATGAATGTGTGCATCCAACTGGATAAAGTCGACAGATTTTCATTCAAAATATGCTAAAAATTCAAGCTGAACATGGAAACAAACTGACGACGTCCAGATTTCCTCTTTGTTTTGATCTGAAGTTGAGCTCTCACAGTTTGATCCACATTGACAGGTTGAGACTAAGAGAGCAAACTAAGGCTGTTGTTGGGCTTTTGCAATCAAGCATTGGCCAGCTACACAGTAACACAATCCACATGTTTTATCAGAGGGATGCGGGAGGGGGGTAAACGCAATCAAGCGTCAAAACCCCCAACACCACTGCTGTTCCCCCATCCAGTGACCCAGTGCCAGGAGAGCAAGCAAAACTCAGCTTTGACAGAGAATGTCTGAGTGTAGTTGTAAATGTTTTAGGAGAGCAGTTAAAGTGTGCGCTGGGGGTTCGAAGGCGCTCGGTATGAGAATGACCTGTGCTGTTTCAGGGTAGATCCGTCGGCGCAGCAGAGTTTGGGGGCCCAGTGGGCAGGGATTCAAGTCCATGTTATAGCTGACTGAATCTGAGACAGACGGCTGGGACAGATGAGGATTAAACCAACGCTTTGATCAGAAGAGCAGGAAGCTATCATTGTGTAGGGACAATGATTGGTAGTGACTGGACATTACTCTTTTGAAACCCTCTCTTTTTTATGTGTGCTGGACTTGGATTTATTCTCCTGCAGCGCTCGGGACTTTATCGTCCAACTTCTATTATTTTTGTCCCCAGATCCATAGTGAGCATGCATAAGTATGAATGGTACCTTAACATCAGATGTGTCTCTCTGGCAGTTCCTCCAAGCCCTGGATACTGAGGAGAAGGTGCGGTCAGCATGGTCAAACTTTCCTCCTTGGAAGTTAAGGAAGAACGTGGTGAAGGGTTCCTGGAAATTATAAAGGTTATGGTTAAGAATATAAACTGGGGAGTCTACTCCTGTAACTGAAACCACCCAATTGCTTTTTCTGCAATGAAAACTTGGTTGTCAACATGTCTACAGTTTGAATACACTCTGTCAATATATTTGACATAGAATTGACCCTTTCTGCACACCCTGTAACAAACTTAAAGCCAAAAATGAACAAGTAAAACAACAATATTCCCAGTGTGCTACTAAAATCAATGCACATGTGCTGCTGATGCATTTCTAATCACGTATAATCTTGTTAGGGCAGATCAATAGCCATCTCTCTGATGCAATAGCCCCCAAATGACACGGGCACACTGTGCTGTACCACAGCTATAAACTAATACTGTAAATAGCTAATTAAGTCCACCCTGAAATGACGCAAGCCTCATTTATTTTATTTTTTTAAATGGTGGGACAGTGAGCAAATTGATCTTGCAGTTTATACATCAGTGTAAAATCTTACAAAATACACAGTTACTGCACAAACCCATTTTCATTTAATATTTAAGGTTAAGTTTGATCTTTAAGCGAGAGTTATAAATGAGTGCTTCTGGTAAAGTGGCTTTAGAGTAAGCTGGCTAATGATGTGCAGAGATCAATGAGGTAACTCTACTGGGAGTTACAGAGACAGTGAGCTACTGGGACAATAACAGCAGAAAACTGCACGTTGGAGAAACTTAGTAACCTCCCTCTCCCCAGAGTGCAGTATGGAAAGATTGATGGCATCCATTCAACAAAGGTACTACAAGAGAGCACTCTAGTGCAAAATATACACCACTAATGTGCTTCAAAAACAAACAAAATCACATTTCAGTACCTGTTATTAAAAAGAAAAACCTTGAAAATTTGCATCAAGGTGAAGGTCAGACTTTTAAGTGCACTGCTTTTGCTTTTCATTTATTATCATCCCATGCATGCATGCTATGCAATATTTAGCATGCATATAACTCTTAATTTGATAAAACCCTAGGTCTAATTAATAATACATTCATGACCTCTGCATCATGAATGTACTGTTCATTAAAAAAAAGAATCCAATTTAAATAAAGCGCTTAACTACACTTTTAAAGAGCAAGGTGAAATTCTTGCACAAGCATAATTATTTCATTATTTTCCAGAATTTATATTAAAAGTCACGAATGCTCCTAAACACTCCAAATGTGCACTGCACTTACAATACGTAGCAGCCACATCAGGGTGAAGCTCGAGGTGGAGTAGTGGGTGCCATAATGGAACTTCGGCACCTGATCATCCTCCCAGGTCTCATATCGTTCTGAAAAGAACGCTGCCCTCTTGGGGTTAAGAGCACCGATGGGCTATAAATATAAACAAACAAAAAATAGGTCAAACATGTTAAACAGCTAAACTGAAAAATAAATAAATACGACAAAACCAGATATTAGGACACGATAGATGCGTGAAAGTAAAAAAAAAAAACACAAACCAAAAGCAGGGAGGCAGTACTGAATTTTACTGTGAATACAGGGACCACTCACTGCTGCATAATAGTTGCAAGGCGAATGAAGCTAATAACCATTGTGCTATCTCAAATGAATATTAGATGATGTTTTCCTTCAGACAGATCAATCCTTTCCCACAGAGTGCTTTTTAGAGGCTGTGAAACCGAGCCCCTGCAGCTGTAGTCTGTCAGAGAAAACTAATGTGCTCCAATGAAAGAGTGCCTACTCAGAATATCAATAGCAAGGCTGTGGGTTCCTTTAATTTTTACTTTTATTAATCTGTAACTAATACACTGGTCACCAGCCCTATATATAGTCCAGAAAAAAATGGTTAAATTGCATTAATTTTCCATTGCTCTTAAAAAAAAAAAAGCCAATAACCCTGTGCAGCTCGCCTATTATTTAAATACTCATTTATAGAAATCACTTTCAGGCTGGTTCAATTTTTATTAGTCTTCTGCAGGCTGTGCCTCATTCCCTCGAACCGCTCCATCATCTTGCTCCCTCACACACACACACACACGCACACACACGCACACAGCAGATCAATGGTAATGGAATGATGCCCTTTTGAGAATGGGGGCCTAGTAGGGTGTGGATCAATTGGATCTCTTTCATATCATAGGGTGCCTGTCACAGCAAGACACATCCAGGGCAGGTCTATGATATTGATCTGTGCAATGGCTACTGTTTTATGTGGGTGTAATGGTGCATGCTTGTGTACCTGTGTGTGTGTGTGTGTGTGTGTGTGTGTGTGTGTGTGTGTGTACTGGGAGTGATGCACGCAGTCTTGCAGTTATTGCTGCTTTTTTTTTTTTTTTGTTCAATGCATGCATTTTTTTGGTTATTTTGTAAATAGTGTTCCTGTGCGTATGTGCATTTACACAGCGAATTGCCTTGTGCCACAAACTGTGCAGATCTATGTTGACAGTGATACACTGTGGGCTTCCTCAGGGCCACTGGGGTGGGTGAGTACACACAGTGAATTATACATCACACCCATTGGCCTGATTTATAGCCCTAATAACAGTCGGCTCATTAAAAAAAGAAAAGGGAGAGGAGGCATATAAAATAAGAAAAAAAAGAAAAGACTGAAAGTGCCACAGTGACAGGGAGAGAGGGAGAATTGTGTGTGAGGGCACGTGGGGGCTGTTGGTTTGCTCGAGCCCGACATTGTTTACTGCTGTAAATTACTGTGGGGCTAGCGCTCTCAGCTTACAGTAGCTACAACAAAGCGGCAGCGGCGGTGCCGTACATCAGAGCAGAGCGGCCGGCGGTGCGCTGATGGAGCGCCTGCTGCTGCCCCATCACAGATTGACCCAATACGTCGTGGCAAAGAATAGCACTCTGATGAGCTCTCAGACAAATGAACCGATCACATACTTTTAACTAAAGGGTACACTACAGAAGAAAACTGAGCCAGAGTTTTCAGTAAAGATGGGGGAAATAATGCTGATTAGTCTTAATCTGTTCTAAATCAAGAAGGCAGTGTAACAGTGACATTTTAAAGCTGCTATGGTGAGATGTATTTAAAATATATATATACATATATTATATATATTATGTATGTTATCCTGCCTAAACTCTCCTCCTTACCCAAATAATCAGAGGTTTGGGAACTCAAATATTTAAAAAATATTTTTTTATATGTAGGCATACCAAGCGAAAAACACTCCCTCAAGGAACAATAAGCACCTTCCTGAGAAACTATTATAAGAACATTACCTAGTGCTACTTTGCTTTTAAAACAATAATGGGTCACCGGTGATGAAGTATAATGGCTCACCGACGATTTGAGCATCAGTAGGGCTTTGAGTCATAAATCACAAGAGCCTTTTGAAGAGAGTGTTTATGTATAATGTCCTATTTAAACAGTGAAAATGGTGTGGAGGGCCTGGGGGGATAAACATATGGGGCGAGTACGATGAGATCAATACACCATTAGCCCATGTGTCTGTGAGCAGCACGTTATAGCACAAAGGTACACAAGATGCTCAGTAAGTCCTATTTTCTTGCTATGTAAATGCAGAGTACATATTAGATTAACAATTGTTTAAATTATTTGTTGTTCTTCATTAAAAGCACAGTAAGAGTGGATTCATTTATTTACATATTTTTGCCTTTTATGAATAGATGAAGGCGTGCCTTTTCTGTAAGGACACCTTGTACGAACACTCAAGAAGTTCAAACAGATCAAATAACAATTTTCTTTTGTAAAATCGCCCCAAAGATTAATTTTATCTGTTAAAATGTCAAATTTAGGTTTGGTTTTGTTATATAAAGCATCTTTATGAAGAACAAGTGGATTTTTGTGGGGAGATGTGCGACAGTATGCAGAGCTGGGGTGCAAAAAGGGGTGGAGGAATAAAAAAGAGGTGTTAAAACAGTTGCAGTCAGATCTAGCGAGAGCTTATCGTGACTACAATGTTATCTCGGGGGTCGGCGTTTGATGTCAGGTTGAGGTTAGAGTTTATGATAAGAAAGTCCCTGGGGTCAGAATGGCTCTGGTAGCAAGGAACATAAATTCTGTGTGGCCTCTGTTGTGCTGGGAATGATGACAGTGTGTGACACACACACACACACACACACACACTCACACTCACACAGACGTTCATAGCAATTTGGCTTCTCAATGTCACTGGAGGCTTCGCAGATGACCTGTTTCTACAAGAGACAACCACCAACGTGACATTAGAGGGGGATAAGAGAGATGTGAAGGGTGAGGAAGAAAGAGAGCACGAGAGGAAAACAGAAGGAGACAAGAAAGAAAAGCAATAAAGAGCAAACAAAAGAGGGGAAAATGGGAAAAGTAAGCACAGAATGGTGCAGACACACACACAGAGTGCAGAACTAACTGAAGGTCACCAAATATTAGGTTGCAAAGAAAAGAAACGGGGAGCACAAATGATTGTAGGTGCAACATCGTGTGGTGGGGGTTTGATTTGAAGGGCTGCACAGAGCTGCTTTGCCCTTTTCCAGACACCGCAGTCTGGCACGGTCCAGTAGTCATACATTAATATCACACGCGTGTCAACAACATGAATAAAACAGATGTAATAAAGATCTGCTCTGCTCCCTCCCCTCCTTCTTGCTCTCTCTGCTTCCATCCTATTCTTTAAAAAGAAAAAGGGTTAAAGGGATGGGAAATAATGTTGTTCTCCCTTTCTCACACTCTCTCCTCCTCTTTCTTTTGCTTTCTGATTGTCTTTCTGTTTCTCCTCCTTTTACCCAACTCTCCCATTCATTCAAGTCCCCGGGGCGGCGAGGCTTGACTGAGCACAGAGGCTGAGCTGTCCAAACTCCATGGCAGTGCAAAGGAGAAGAGAAGGAAGCAGAAATGAGCTAAGAAACCACGCGGGAAGGCTGCGTGGTTTTTGTGAGCCTGTGTGTATTGGTGGGGCAAATACAACTGTCACATTTCACCCTGTTGGGCAACATCAAGCAGGATAAACATAAGAATTATGCAGCTGCTTACAGTGGATAAAAACTACACTGGGAGGGATAAAAGCCGAGGACAGAGACACAGAGGAGCAGATTGAAAGTGAAAGCAGGACTGAGGAGAACCTAAGGGACAAGATGTTTGAATCTATGTGACAGGGAAGTGTGAAGGAATGAAAGTGTGAGGAGATGGTTCACTTGTGTTTCATAACTGTGGGATTTGTGCAGGACAATAGCGTTCCATCTGGATTATATTCTGCAGATATTTGTTCTTCTTTTCATTTCCAATGGTTGATGGCAGTTGATGGACTTTAATGAATGCTTGCCTAAAGAAACAGCAATACTAGACTTGCTGTCCCCTAAATAAATTAATTCATTTAAAATTGCTGCCATCACAGAATTTTCTTGCAAAACTAAACTAAATCTGCATTGTCCTTTTGAACATAGTTAATAACATGCAAACTGCCAGCAAGTCAAGTTGATGGTGGCTCAATAAGTAGAGCCAGAAGGTCACCGGCTCTTCCTCCCTGACCCAGCCAACACAGTGAACCCCAATTTCCACCCATGGATCCATCTGTGTATTAGTAACAGTCCAAATGTATACCGTCATGTTTGAACAGGACTGAGCAAAAATTATGAAGAGTTATTGGAGAGTCTCCAAGAAATGCTAAAACACATTATTAGTGAAACTGGATTTCCTAGATCGTCTAATCTCACCCAAACCAATGCAGACTCTAATTTACTTATCGTTTTATTCAAAGAGCGATATCTTTGAAAGAAGACTAATATGTTCCACTTTGTCTCATTAGGGGACTACCTCCATGTCTGCACCTGAACAAATGACCTCCAGCGTACCTCTAAAAAGCATTTGCTCCAACAGATCCCCTGTCCATTAACACATGCTTTCTTTTGCTTCCATGGCTGATTTATTCAGTCATTTTCCTACTAGGAGCTTGACACTCGCTCAATCTTCCCACTCTAAAACTAATCCTGAGTCCTCCCACCGCTGGACTGTTCATCCACCGACGTTAGCTGGCAAGCTAAGGGGTGTGCTCTTTTTTGTTTTTGCCTTTTTCCATCTGTGTATGTACGTGTAAAAGCGAGGGAGTTAATGGGAGTAAATAATTGCGTGACTACCTACAATTATGGGGGAGAATCCTTTAGCGATGCGAGTGTGTGTATTTATGTGCCAGGGAGCATTTCAGGGCAGGTTTCATTGTTTTAAGCCCAATCACTCGATGCCTGGAGCTACCAGGGAGTATTACTTCACTTCCTGCTGTGTTGTGGAAGGTCAAACTTGAAAGAATTCAATTAGGAAACTTTGATTTATGGCCAGAAAATGATAGCTAAGCCACAAATTAGGAGATGCAGACTGAGAAGATGAGGGGCTTACATATGTTTTAAATGCAGCAGGTCAAGACTGCCTGAACTAGCAAAAGTCAACAACTAATCATACAGATTAGATGTAATGAATACCACTTGCAGTTTTGGGAAATTTGTCACATTGTTACTCAAATTTCATATATCTGTGAGCAGATGAAAACTGTGCAAATCACTGCATATAGAATCACTTCATCAACATAGATAGCATGACGCTAGTAACATAAAAAGTTTCAAACTGCACTATTCTATCAATCCTTCTCAGACATCTGAAATACTTGGGTCGTTACACGGGAAAAATGCTCTGCACATGTGGAATCCTAGCATCCGGTGATTAAAGAGCAGGTTCACTAAACTATGATCAATGGCAATTACAAAGCAACAAAATTGACTTTAGGAAGAATGCACACACAGTTATCTGTGTGTTACTGCCGCCCCCCCCCCCTACTTTTTCAGGGAATTAAGAAGAAAAAAGATCCATTATAGTGAAAACAGGGGAGAGGATGAGTCTCCACGCTCTTACCTTAGACAGATCTCTAAAGTTGCTGGGCAGAGTGAGGTCAAGCTCCTCTGAGTCATAGTTGGTGATGACCCATGGAAAGACTGGGTACTGGTTTAGGTCATTATAGGTACGGCCTGGAGGGGAGACAAAGCACGGGGAAGAGGGGCGACAAATATTGTTTTAAAAAAAAGTTAGCATCATAGACTGCTAAAATGTGCACAGCACCTCTGTGTTACACCCTGCAATAACATCGCACAGGTGCTGAGCGGTGTCCTCACCAGAGATGGTGTTCAGAAACATCAGGTACTCAAAGTTGGATATTTCACGGCGCTGCCAGCGCTGAGTCATGTTGGAAGCCTTGAACAGCTGCTTAGGTGTGGCCATAGAGATGCGTCTATAAAAAGAAATGGAAAGCTCGATATTAAAATCTTTTGTAGCCATTCAAATCACAGGAACAGCAAGAATAAAAAGCCCCAGGCTTTATTAGACTTTTGCAATCCAAATGTCATTTCATGAAAAATCTACTGAACTTACAGTCTTGCTAATTAAGAAGACAAATGCGCAATAAATTGGGTTGAATACACATATTTACGTGCATGTGTACACACACACAGGAGGCCCCAAAGAATGATGTATGCTGCAGGACAAAAACGAATGACCCCCAATCCAATTAAAACAAAAGAAAATGATGAAATTAATCAATGTCACTGTGTGAGATTATGGTCATTAGGCCTTGCCAAAGAAAAGAAAAGAAAAAGAATGTGAAAACATGACTTCCCAAACACAAGTGTACTTTGACACATTTTTTATATTGTCACCAAGCAATTCTGTACATCTTTTGAACTGCTTTAAATGACATTATAAATAGATATGGAGAAGTAAAGGAGAGAAAAGAAGGAATGCAAAACTGGAAAAATGGTTGAAAACAGAGGGATTAGATTAAATTATGAACATATATTGGACTTGTGCTTTAATTTGTGCATCTGTGTGTGTGCGTAACTCTGGACATGAAGCTAAATTGTGCTGTGCTGGCTGTATGAGCTGATGTGTACCGGGTTGCCCTGAGCAGCCGTCCTCAGGTCGAAGAGGCAAGGTGGCCAGCAAACTAGTATGATTAATGAGCCGAGCACACACATTCACCTGCCCTAACCCTGTGTCTTATACACACAAACTCTCCTACACCCACACTAACTCATTACTGGATGCACTTCCTCACTCTACTTATCACACAGCCCTCACTGTTATGTTGCCACATGTCAAATTCTGTGATGCTTAATACCAAAAAGTTACAAAAAAATTTAAAATATCATCTTCTCAAAATACAACTCAAAAATCCCATCAGATGGGCTCTGGCACACCTCAGATTAAAAGGGCCAATCACAAATCTTTAATCGTATCCACATTTTTTTCCCCTCAGATTGAATTTTAACCATCACCAAAGCGTCTTGAAAACTCTGTCTTGCTGTGAATTTTGTGCAAGATTTGTGCACAACCAACACCATCGGCTCCAGCAATGCGTGCACACAGAGTGGGCATGATGTGAGCGAGGGCTGGGGGAAGGTGTGTGCCCTGCAGGCTTACAAGCAAGTATTTGCTTCACTCTGGTGGAAATAAATAAATGAACTGGACTATGTTTGTGTGAAGCCAATTATATCTGGGGGGAGCGGGGTAAGGAGAGGGAGGGAGATTAGTGGCCAACCCCATGTGTACATTTTTGAGAGAAACAAGAAAAAAAACTATTTGAAATTTTAAAATATTTACATAACACCACCATAGATGTTCCATAATCCTCTTCTCCTCCCCAGTTACCATTTTTCTCCCCATGAGATTGTGCTGCAACAGCAGCAAACACAACAAAGCAATCACGCACGTCTAACCTGGTCTGTGGAAGGCCAAAGTTCGTGCCCACGCCAACACGAGGAAGACTGTGAACCACCTTCTTTACTGTGGCTGCATCTGGGAAGTTGAACATGACTGCCGCTGCAGAGAGGCACGAAGCAACAAACAGTTATCAAGGATTATTTCTTAAAGATTAGAAATCACAATAATGACAACTTTTGATTGCCATTTCTCCACAATTATTCATTTTTAAAAAAAAAAGGTGTGTGTGTGTGTGTGTGTGTGTGTGTGTGTGTGTGTGTGTGTGTGTGTACCCAATAAGAAGGTGAAATGGTTAAGCATAGACAATTATGGGGGATGCCTTACTCCTATTGGCCATGAAGACTTCCAAAGCAGTATTCTGCAGGAGGTAGCGTCTGGAAAAGACGGCACGAATCTCCGAGAACAGCCATTTTCCATGAAGACCTTCTGTGTAGGCTAGAATCTGGAAAACACAAAAGAGAAACCAGAGAGATGTGGATTCCAATTAAATAATGAAAACAGAGCAAGCAATGGAAATTAAAATTAAAAATTAAAAGAAAAGGAAAAAAGAAGAAGAGAAGGGAAGAAGGAAGGCGAACAGACCAGAGGGCCGGGTTAGTTCATTTTTCACAGTGATGGCATGACGGCTCGAAGAGCACGATTAATGTCTTATATTGATCAGCCTCAATGAAAAAGAGATTCCTTTAGCGAGAGAATGGGCGCTATTCAGCCGGACGCTGTGAAGGAAATGTTCGCTTCACTAAAAGATCATCTATTAAGTGACAGTTTGCTGTGACAAGAAGCTATTTTATGCAAAACATCTGATTACAACTGGTCTCTGCATTTCCTCGGAGGTAACTGACACGGAGGTCAGACGATATTATGTTACTAAGCTCCACATTTAAAAATGCTTCGATGAACTGAGCTTAATCTGTCCCCATGGAGACCGCGGTGGCTGTCAGAGTGACTTGTTCTGACGGCTGTCACAGCTCCTGACAGACCCGCATGCTTAGCCCTGCCCCTGTGATTTGTCCTCATACTAATCCAGCACTTAGGTTGGCTACTAACCTACTTAGCACTGCTTTGTTAACTAGGTTTTTATTTCAACCTCTGCTTTTGGTTTCAAAGGTGCCCGCTGTTATAAGGCAGAAAGGTGAAAGGAGCACTTCATGTTGTTAAGATATGATTTTGCAGCATCTTATTAATCAAAAGTATTCAAATTTGAGCCAGCACGCTGGGCTTAGTGTTAAGCTGAAGGAGCTCATTAAAGGCAAGGGGACAGAGAAGAGGACCAGCTGAGGCCTTCAGCTAAGGAGCGCTTCCCTCGCTGTCTCTCTGAGGAATAAGACCTGCCTGCATCACAGACTCACTTCAAAGTCTCTGGAGTTCAATTAAATGTGGATTAGTGGCCTGGAGAAGCTAGCCAGCACCGCATCCTCCTGCCTCCCATCTCTCTCAAGGCAGCTTCAGATGATTTAACCAGTCACAGCCAGCCTAAAGCCAAACCCATTTCCAAGACTTTTTGTTTGTTTGTTGTAAATAAATACAGTGTAACACAATATTAGCTCTTAAGTTCAATAACATCTTGATGATGAATTTTATAAAGATTTTTTTTTAATCTTCAACATATTTAATTCAAAAAATAATTTTTTGGCATTGGGAAAAAAAAGAAGAAGCTTTTTTCCCCTATTTGTAAACTAACCAGCCGTACAAAATGAGCTGTCCTTACACTTTGGCTTTGATATTTATTATTATTATAAAGACAAACCATTGTATTCAGTCAGCTCTAGGGATGTTGGGCACAGATTTCATTACTTCCACCAACATTAAGTTTATTGTGCACCAGGTACAACAAACCAAAGAAGGAATGGCATGGTTTTAAAAAATAAGCAGGAGCAGACAAAGAAAAGGGTCACAACAAGGTTCAATCTCCAAAGAAAAAAACCTAAACATTTATTTTATTATCAATTTAGCACAAAGATAAGCTCAACAAAATCTTTAATGCATTTAAAACAGTGGATATACAATGCGTGAAGTATTCTCTGAGGCATGCTCATATTAAATCCAGGTCAACAATTGCGCTTTCAGATTTGTTGGCTACTAATTCATCAGCAAAATGGGGACATAAGTTGGGATCACTTTTGCTAGCTGAGATGTTTGAATTTTGATGACAAACAAAATCTACTGGTTTTCATCGTTTCCTCTATTTACAAACGTGACAATAAGCTGATCATGTCGAAACACTACAGAAGGAAAGACATTTTTTTTCTGTTCTTCCATCAGATCAGAAAAGAGATTCAAGTCTTCAGGTGTTTAATAAGTGAAAGCTTGAAGTATAACTATTCACAACTAAAGAGTGGTTTTACATAGATGCCCAGTGATAAACTAATGAAGCTGCCAACTCTCAGCTGATAGAAAGATATGACACAAGTGAAGGCACCCAGATATATTTCACTAGACTGATGGATCTCCTGGAACTCAGCTGTAAACAGCGTGCTGCTCTCCAAGATCATCATCCCGATCGGCAGCGCCCTCTCCCTTGCAGATGAAAAAGCAGAGCGTGTGACAACGAGTATGACGAACTATCTGTGTCGTAATGCTCGAGCTGTTCTGACCACATCTGGACAAATTACATTGGTGTGGAGGTTATTGTCCATGCTGGAGTTATGGGTGCATCAGCTTCATCTGTAATATATCGTAGTGGAAGCTTTAAAGAGACAGGAATGCTACAGTTACAGAACAAGGGAAAATAATAGAGATTTCAGACTATTACAGTCTTGAATCGCAATTTAATTACACCATCTCTGGTTTACCATCTACTGAATGTCTGGTTTTAAAGTGATAATATTAATAATGAAACAATATATTATTATTGGAGCAGCATCAAATTGATCAGGAGCTGATCGTTGACAGAAGCTGTTTCTTTGAGGTTTCATTTCAAGTGGAACGATATCCACGGGCACAGATTTGGAGCACTCCGAGATCAATTTCACGGCGTCACGCGAGAGGACACAGCCAAACAGAAAACAAAAGAACCGGTCTTGATTGCATTGCCTTCTCTCCATCTCTCCCTCTTCCTTGTTCAACCTGTTTGTGCAGCGGGCTGCGGCTCATTTCTGAAGCACTGTCGTTTGTCTTTGTCAGATGCCCAAAAGACTGC